AAAAAAAAAAAAAAAAAACAAGTGGTTATACAAGGATCGCGTAATTAACCAGTTGGTAATTGATGTGGAAAAAGCGATAAAAAACGGATAACGGATTGATTTAATTAAGAAATAAAAAAAAAAACAGCGATTACAAAAAAAATTGAACTATTGCAAAAGCAATTTGTACCATTAAAACTTGTGGCTAGTTCAAAACGTTCGATATAAAAAATAATTTTCTATGAAGATTGATGATCACGTTTAAAATGGTCTAATGTGCATTGAAAAATTGAAATTTAAAATTTGGATTTATTGGAAAACATGATATTTTAATCAACGTTATTTTTGACTCGAATACAAATAACATTTCAACGTACTCAATCATTACTAACAGCCTAACACGCAAAAATATTCACGTTAATAAAAAATTATAACTTACCATATACCGGGTTCCAGTTTTAGTTGTACGGTTTCTGGAGAGTTGAACGTGTGACCTGAAACGCAAAGAGAATGTACAATTTTTTAACAATAACAACAAAAGACAATCGTGTGAAACAAAAAAATGTCCGTTTTCGCTTTTGACGGACTAGTAATCAACATTTGTCAGAGACACATGAGCATATACAACCAGTCACCGACCGGATCGTCCAAAGCGACACACCAGCAAAAACTATTGCGAAAGACAACAATAGAATGTGAGCGAATATTGTTTACCCGAATAAGCTGAACGTTGCACTTCCTCCGCTAACGCCGATGAACGGTGGCAAATAACAATAATACAACAGGCGGAATAGTTTTATATATATATAAAAAAAAAATAATAACTAATATTTTATGTGCGTTATTGAACACCGGGAAAAAAAATTGCAAAAAAAAAAAAATTACCCAACGACGCGGTGTATTGGATTACACGAACTATCTGCCGAACGGGTGAGGGACAGTAGGAAAATTCTGATGACTATCGAATTCATTCCGGTCAGAATAATAATTCCAGGACCCGGTCGGTTCAAAGAATTGTCGACGTAGGCTCGTTCGAGCAAATAAAATAATTTACACGAGACGGGGGGGGTTCGTATCTTCGCTTCACTCTCCCACGACTGCCTAACACTACAGAGACCCACGTCAATTACGAGCATCTGACGAATTTTTTAAACATAACCGAAACAATTTCAAAACGGCGCAGTCCACCAACACTTACCGTCACTGATGAGCCTTTGAACGATGTTGACCATATCTTTGACTTCGGCCACGTAAAACTGTGCATCGACTTCGTGCGTTATTTCTAAATCTAAACGATTAGTCGAAAGTCAGGGAAAATTCACGTCGTTCGTACGACAATAACACCGTCAACATTTTCAATGGTAATTATCACCTGTGTATTACCTGACATTATTTCACCGAGTACCTAATAACACAATTCATGCGAAATAATCGTTAAAGCAGCGCACGAGCAGCAGGTGCATCGATTGATACGTACAATATTTTAATTTAATGTTGTTCAGCAGTTTCACCGTTGAAAATAATAAAAACACATAGATTATTACTATTGTTGTTACGACGTAATTATCGCAAAACGGCAGCTTATCGTATTTTAATCGATTTCTAACCTAACCTAAATGTGCGATGCCTCGTTATTAGTTGCACTGAAACGGCCGGTGCAACGCGACGGGTGAAAACATTGGCAGGAACATTTAAACGTATAAATGCGTTAATTAGTTCTGAAATTGCAATTAGGCTTCTTCATAATACTTAAAAAATGTTATTATCGAGCGATTATCAGTTACGAGCGGCGGCCGATAAAACACATTTCAATACTATTCTCGATGAACAACTGTGTCTTGATAGACGTTGGTTTTTTAAGTACAAAAATAGGGATGATTATTATCGAGAACAAACAGTTTTATATTAAATATTCAATAATAACACTAACAGAGTCGACCCGTTCAAGGAAAATCACGAAAACAGCAATTAAGTCTTAACTGTTAAGACTTTTCTCATTCATACAACACTCGTCACATCAATTGTCAGAGAGAAACGTTCCGCCGCAGCTTTGATATATATCTCTAAACAAGTATGACTTTTCAGTAATACGTTTTTAACTCGTGAAAATAAAAATATTGTTAATACATTTTGGAATAAACCACTTGAATAAATAAAGTTTCAGTGTTGAACAAAAGTAAGAAAATATTTTTTACCCGTAAAGAAACATAGTAATGTCTTTACGAGATATATAATTCGAGTTATAAAACCGACTCCCTAACACATCAAAAATATTACAATGAAATTGAAACGCATTATCGATAATGACATTTTCACACATATTAAAAATTGTAATGCAATTGATGATTAATAGTGAAAAATAAAATTACATAATCAGATTACAAAACAAATCGTCAGATTATATCCGATAGATAGTAAATACATGAATCGTATACAATAGCAATTATACACCACTAGATCATAAATGTGCCGAAAAATCATGGAACCTGATCGATCGCAAAATTTTTTTTAACAATTTCTCACGATAGCATTGATTAAAATGCCAGCAATTTAAAAATGTGTTAGAGAAACATAACCGAGCCGTTCGAAATAAATGTCTGTACTTGTGTCATGAGTGTTTTGTATTGCACAGCGTTTTAGTGTTGTGTTATATTTTTTAATATATACATGTAAAACTGTCGATACGAGTATCGCCGTGTCGCCCCAGACGCGACCATTGCGTTCTGTGTACACATAAATTTATATATACATACATATATATATATAGGTATATCTATTGTTACAAGTGCGTTACGAGAGTCAACTGAAGGTCGACGAAAAAAGAAAAAATTGATATATTATTCCTTATTATAATTTTTCTATCCAATTCTTGACGTCGAAGCCTAAAAATATATTGAATATGAAAAAAATAAAACGAAAATTCGAGATCGGTAGACGATGATAACAAACGATTCCGTGATTTGTTGTCTGTCAAAGGCGATGGCAAATCGACCTCGTTTCTGACATAGCGTGTAAATACATTAGAAAACTGTTATTATTATTTTAATAAAGAAATCAGGAATAAATAAATACAAACAACGATGCCACGTGACTGAAACTACGGGGCGGAGTTCAAAGATACACAAGCAGCAATCTCCTTCTAAGTAAAACACACACACTCGATAACGTATTTCAAAGGTAAAAATCAATATATTTAGATGGTTTCCGAGTGTGTGTTATTATTATTTTTTTTTTAACAGTCAGGATAACGAGCAACAGCAGTTATCGGCCGAGGAGGCTCAAACGTGTCGTCATCGGTAGTGTACTGTGGCATAACGCATTAAGTGTACACCTAAACAAGGTTTTTGTTTGCCGCCACTGTTATCGCGATCCGTGTGTACACAAGACGCGAACTAAAAGTACGAATGTAAATTACACGAGTTGGTGCCGTTGATATTATTATTATTATTATTAGGAATACAATGGCGACACGTAGACGGATACTTGAGCGCAGCCGAGCAAAAGATAAAACGGTAATTTTTAAAACACTGCCACGCGGTTTTGACGTTTCCTCTAAAAATTAATAAGAAAGAGATTCTGAATAAAACTACTTCCAATTGTCTGGGCACAACAACACTGTTATCTCTAAGCGCGCCGTTTGGATAACAAGACGGTCAATGTTGATCGCTTAACAACGGCTCATATTAATATATAAAGAAAAATAATACATATATAAAATATGTTCCCGAAACAAAATGTAAGATAGAGGCCTTTTTACGGAGTCCAAAGGCCACTCGCTTATAACACACATAGCTAGGAAGATAACATAAGTAACAACATAAAATTATAATTAGTGTTTGAATTTTCAACGTTTACGATTGAGGCGGACAAGCTTCCGTTTTAGTTCATGTTTTACGGATATACTTCTGAAATATTTAACGGATTACCGGACAGATCAACTAGCGACAAAATCGATACGATTAAAGTATGTCGTCTTCATTAGAATATAAACGAGTAGAGGAAAAATACGAGATTTAAGAGTATAATTGGTGGATAATAACAACAAAAACACAAGCACGCGTTGGTCAAAACTAATTTAGATAATTTTTGAAAAACGATAACCATTTTTCTACATAATAGGCGTCTTAAAGATATTATTTGTATAATTGAGTAAGTTTTCAAGAAGCGTTTTCGAGCCCCCTCCCAATTTTATTGCCAACGAAAAAAATAAAAATAGATATTTTTTAATTTTATTTCGATATTGGTTATTTACACAAATTTAATGACATTTATATTCTTTGGTTTTGAAATGGATGGGGTCGTGAAATTACAACCGGCACACGAACAAAAATATCACTTACGTGTTTTCAAAATGTTGTACCTGCCACCTGTTTCAAGAGACGATTGCGTACACAACTGTTTAAGTAAAACAATTAAAATTTTTCAAAAGAAAAAAAGGACTCCTGTCGTTAGTGTTAATGACTTTCCCAGAAACGAGAAATAATGTTTATGGTGAATATAACGTAAGCAAATTTAGGTATGAACAGTAGTAAAAACAAATCAAATTATTACACTTTACCACATTAAGTTTTCCTTAAACGTTAATAATTATTAGTTGAACAGACTACATAATAGCATTAAGGTCAATTAATTATAAACTATTCTAAATTTCAGAATTGTAAAAAATATCTAGCTTTCATTGAATGATTTGAACCAATTGATCACGAAATCGGAAATTTAATGTTAAATACCAAAGAAAATTATTCAATATCTCAATTCAACTAACTTATCTAGTTATTTCACGACACAAATAAAAACAGAACAGAAATGTTTAAAATATTTAGGCAAGCATAAACGATAATAAAATACTTCAGTCGCGTTACGCAATGGATAATTTAAAACGATATCTAAAAAGGTTCACAATTAAACTATATATATAATTGACGAGATTCAAGATAAAAACTATTTGCTAAAAGTTTTAGATTTGAATACTTACTTAAGAATGACTTCTTGAAAGGCCGGTGTAAACAGAAGCTTATTAGATAACTAATTATTGTTCAATGTTCAAACACAATTACTTAAAAAATAGCCGCAGACCAACAACCAGTAACGTCAAGTTCACGACTGATTTAGTGATTAGAAGACTGAGAAATTGGTCGACGGTTATCTCTAGTCCCTTAGTTTAGCACCTGTGGCGCTCCCTACAACGGGTTCTCGCTTATCGCCGTGCCGCATCGACTGCACTCGGGACGAATCGGATTAGCGACTAGAATTCAGCAACCGGTAAACTAAACATCATATCTAATAACTTTGTTTTATTTTAACTTTATGGCACAAAAAAAAAAACGTCGAATTCAACATGAAATAACTTTATATAATAGATAAATTTTATACCGAGAAAACGTTTAATGATTAAATAGACGAAGCTCATACTGCGTCATATTCGCGATTCTATTTTTTGATTCAGTATCTCCATCATAACTATGTATACTATAAACAATTTAAAACGACCTTGAAAACTAAAAGCCTAACGATACTTAATCTTTTTCAGTTAAATCGTAATTTCACCAAAATTCAGATACATTAGGGTCATCAATATTAAATGATTTTTTGTGGACCTTTAGTTGTAGTTGTGTAGTTCTTAATGAACAGAATGTCTACCTGGGTGGTGAATAATAGAAATGTCGTTTTAAACCAATTGTAGTTAAGATTAAATTTGATTTCTTGAAGACATTTTGAGTAACTGACATGATACAATAGCTTACACACGGTAGTAACCGAAGTAAAATTAAACTCTTCCTTCTAAACAAACATCATCTTCCGAAGTATTTTATATACACATGAGTGTGTTAATAAAATATTACCATTTTTAATTTAATAAAATATCTTTTCATTTATTTACTAGAGATAGTTTAGCTTAAATCATAATTTTACAATCAATAATAGCCGCCTATCCCATTAACGAAATTTAACGAGTTCTAGTCCAATTTATAAACAGACGAATAGAGAAAAAAATAATTCTATCATTATAAGCTAAATTTTATCAGCCTATATAATTTTGTTAGAAAATTCACAACATAGATTTAATTAGTTTAAACGATTTACGAGGAATTTAATAAATCTAGTGAATAGACATTAAGCGAATTGTTTTTTTATGATTGTTAATTTTTTAATAACAACTCAGCGTCTTTACAGGTTCGACATAATTTTGTTTCTTTTCTGGCTTCCGGCTGTTGTCGTAAATCAATTCCGTCACGACTTACAAATAAAGTTAATAGAAAAAAAAATTAAATAAACAATCGAAGAGAAAAACAGAATAGTAATAATTTTTAAAAAGTTTAAAATAGAATTTAATTATCTAACTTCTACATAATTCAAAATTTATTTAAAATAATCACTTGTTTATCTTTGAACAGAATTCTAAAAGACACAATGTACCTAAAACTACATGAACTCTGTAATATTATCATGGGGAGAAGATAAATTACATTCTCAAAGAATATCTTATACACGGCGCTCTTAATATCAAAGACCTATTATCATCACGATAATCTCAATGACCTCTATGAATACAACTTAAGGGACCGAGTTAAAACATTTATAAGATACGCGTTACGATCAATGTATCAAATGCAAGAAAAAAATTTGATATGTTTTTCATACTATCAATTTGTTGATTCCTTTTCACAGTTAGAAAATAACTCTACTTGTAAATACCTAGTATTAATTATCTTTCAATTGATGATTCATGGCCATTAAATGATAAACGCCGTTTAATACGATTTATTTTTAGGTAGACTGTTTTATTACAGATGTTTTTGTGATTATTAAGTATACTACTTACATTAAAAATAAACTTTGATTCCCAGTAAATATAATTTCAAAGATATTGCTTCTAACGATAATTTTAAATAGACGTGTATACCAGTTAAATGTAAATTGAAAATAATTTTTTTTTTTATCAATACTAATTGTTTTATTAAAAAGCAAATAAAATTGATGTGTTTTTTCTGATAAAATTATCACGCATGTTGGTAATATTTAAATCTATTAATACATCCAGAGTCCTCCGTAGAAACTACTTACACGTGTAGTAATAAATTCTAATGCAAAGTACAGACTATATAGTCTGTGACAAAACTATTAGCCGTAATAAAAATTCAGCTTTTGATAAGACGAAAATACTATTTATCATGACCAGTCCCTTTTGATTTCTCATTGAATCAATATTGTTACAAAAATACTGATCATATGAACAATTCACAGGCCAGACGACATAAATATCATATTCTTAATATTTTATATAAATATTCCATTGATGAGGCTCCTTGGGGAGCATTTTAAAATAAAAAAGATAAACGTACATTAGTTTTATGACATTTTTAGAGATAATGCAGTTGAATGGTTAATATCAAAATAAAATCTTAAGTTTCATTTTGTCTTCCCTTCGCATTATTTCAAGTACTAATATAAAATTAATGATTTATTAAGTAAATTTTTATTTAGCAGCCAGACAATCAGGTTTAATGACAACACTTTATGATTTAACTGGAAGGAATTTTTAAGATTTATGTGTTCTTATCTTTATACGTATTTATACTTGTTCATTTATAACTAATAAATAAGTTATTTAATTCAAATAATTTCTACAAAATCATTTAGAGAATTTAATAATAAAAAGTGTACCTGGCTTCGTTATGCTATTGGAAAAGATTCAATTTTTGAAATGATTTTTTATAACTGTTATTTCCATTCGTAATAATTCTACAGAGCAAGTTAGTAAATATAATACAAATGGTAAATCGGGTGTAGATTTAAAAATTCATTATTAACATTCGTATAGAATAATTTGTCAGTAATCAATATTTTCAGTATTAATGGACAATCATTTATGCTGTGAAAGACAAACTCTATCAAAAAATGATCTAGTGCACAATATATTATAAGAACAAACGACACGATTAAATTCAAGTGATTAAAGAAATTTGTTTCACTAATTAAGTCTAGTACTAACCACTAGAATTTCACCCATTAAAAAATTAATATAATAGTATAACGTAGCAGTGTGATATTAAAATATCATAATATGAAAGAAGGTCAAGTCGCGGTTGAAATATAATCGATCGGACAACTATAATTATTTGAAGCATAGCGTTTTTGAATTTTTAGCAACGAAGTAGAATAAATGGATATAATAACGTTGATACAGTCAGCATCTCTGTTGACATGAAATGCGATTCATAGCGAGCGCCTTAAAATGTATAAACATTTTGTCCGAAATACAACATCTCACACATGTCTAATATTTTGCCTATACATACCAAACAATATCAGGCACAACAGTATACTTTTTAGGATAATAATTAATCAAGGAAGAATCGTATTAAACATTTTAATGTTCTTGGCCATATTCTTATACCCTGTTATATTGATAAACTTATTTTAACTAACAAAAACAACTATACCAGGTAGTATGCTTTCGAAAATTACAAACTGCTTATTGAGTTGTCTCTTGAAAACTATTTTTATAAAAAAGTGTTCTAAGTAAAACTCAATGAAATTTACTAAAAGATATAGAATCTTTATTACACTAAATGGGCTTTCCAATTTTTTTCACAGCACGACCGAAACAAAAACAAAAGTAAGACTATTGTTCGGTTTAAATGAATAAGTATGATAATGATCGAATCGTTTAAGAATAATATTAGCGGGATCAATTCTGAAGAATCGTTTTAATGAACCAAAGAAAGTGTAAAAACTATTTAAAGATGAACTGATAGTAATTTCAAAAAGAAATTACAAGTTTTAGAGATATTGTGGCTGTAGTATATCTAAAGACTTTTACAAAATTATGCCAGTTTATATGAAAAACATTGAAGTATTTTTAATCTGTAATTCATAACATTGAGGTAACTCAAATATTTATAAATAAAATATAATTATTTCGGGGAAAGGTGATTCTTCTGTCAATAGTTAAACCATGATATATAGAGAGTTAATATTAGTTGGGCTAAAACGAGTTTGACTCGTTTTTACAAAAATGAAAATAATTAAAACTTGGCGAAAACTAGGCTACACAACACACGCTGCTTTAAACTTTCAATCTTATCTCAATAATTACTTATTCGCTGGAAATAGTAATATTGTGTCGATGTATTGCAATACTTGAAATACTCGGTGAATAATAGACTCGAGTTAACATTGAACTACGTGGTGTATACGTGTTTTAAAAAGGATACAGTTCACCAAATCCGCGATCGAATTAAAAGCTTGATCTTGGGGAGCGTTGTAGAACTTGGAGAAGTCCTTCCGTAGGTCGTGGAATACATTGTAGTATTCGGGTAGTTCGATGTCTTTAATGGACGCTTCCCTGTGTAAACACTGTCGGATAGGTAGTTGTCCATCGGTCACCAGGCGAAACATGGGAGCCTGTGGCTCGATATTCAATGACTTGACATAAGTGTCGAACTGAAAAAAATACACGTATATTATAATAAAATATATACAGAGCAGTCATCATCAGAGTTGACAATTGTGTATTAACAATGACGTTAAATTTCAAATTAAAAAATTGGTGGTTAGATTATTTAAATTAGGAAAACACGAAGTGTAAAATTGCTGTCTGCCCGCCGCTACTTCGGTTATTGCAAATTCGTATCAACTGTTGCATTCTACAACCTTCGAGAATTCTGAATTAATCATTTCTACTTTGTAGCAAATTAAGTTTATTTAATTGTAAGGTTTGAACACCTTAAGCGAATGCAACATAAATATACTCATATAGTTTACGGTGGACTCACTAAGTGCAGCGGTGTAATAAGTAAAATTTCAGACGCACTGAGCGTTTAAACCACTTTTTAATACAGACTTTATAAATAACTGTGATTGGACAAGGTGTTCAAAAATAAGGTTAAATCACTATAGGAGATAAAATCACAATTTGCACATAGGTTTTTAATAGCTCACAATTAAATCTAAGAGAAGTCTAAAAAATAGATAAATCTAAATAATTACGTTATTGTGGTGTATAACAATAACAAATTAATTGATTTTGAATTTAATGATTACGCTGTGACAGTGCGATGAAACATATTTCATAAACAAAACAATAAAACTCATAATTCTCCAAAAAAAAAAAAAATGTTTGGCTTACTTATGCATTATATAGTAATAGTAACTATATATATTAAATATTAGTAATGATACTATTAACACATCGCGTGTACGAGTTGTTATAAAATAATAGCGTTGGGATTTTTTTGCAAGAACTTAGTGGTCTGCATCCTTCTCTTGGACGAAAGAAAGAAATATCCATCGGTCAATGAACTGTAGAAGATAGAGGTTTCGTGAAAAAAAATATCATTAAGCAAAAAGTAACAAGTAGAAATGTGTGAATTAATTATCTATACGATTTTACTAAAAATTTTAAGTACCGTTAATTTTCAGGAATTCGTATGAAGTTTTATATTGGTAAAATATAAATATTCTAATGAACAAAAACTGATTAATTAAGTCATAATTATCAATATTGAAAAAAATGTTGAGTCGGGAAGACATAAAAAATTCATTTTTCTATCATAACAGGCATTTTTTGTAAGTAGAACAAAACAATAACATAGACATTTAATGAAACTAATTTTACCAATTCTAAACGTGTCATCGTATAGATACTTTAACAATGTACGTATTATGACGACGGTAGTTGTGTCGCGGGAGAGTGCAGAAAGCCATAAATGGAAAAATTATGGCGACCTGCAACAGTAAGTCGATAAGTAAATAATTTGTTGTCTTAAGATTGGAAAATAGCGCCAATTTGACCTGAAGAATTGTAGAAGGCGTATGTCAATGTTTGTCAGAGTTAAATGCCATCAATAAACATAGACTTGTTTACATTTAAAAAGGGTAGGATCAGTTTAAAACGCCTTGACCGGTTTTTTAGCAGCTATATCCAGTAGAAACGTAAAACAATATTTCTATTGTAATTAAAATATTTGAGGCGTGCTCGAATCTTGATTAGTTCCTTCTGTAGTTACATGATAAAAGATTAGGTTGTCAAGTTGTAAGACTTCTTCTCTAGTAGCTTAATTTTATATGATAGATGACATGTTACTTAGAGACTACAGTTGACCCTTTCGCATTTCATGATTACCCAAACAACCGTAATTGGCTAGGCATATCTACTATATTCAAGGGAGTAGTAGACTAAAAACAAAAGGTACACTACCTTGAAAACAGATCATTATGAAAATTTTGATGGATATCTTAGTAAATAATACCGATGTTTTTAAAGTGTAGAGATCAATTGGAAAATAATATACGTCGACGTTTCCTTGGTAAATAGTACTTCAAAACATTTTATTACCTTTTACTGCTAAAATGCTTTTTAATTAGTTAATTTTTACTGGTTATTTTTCAATTTTATTGAATTTCAATTTTTATTACAATACACGATATTGTACGTGGAAAAATTTATTTTGTTTTACAACTGAATTTTGATAACTAAGTAAGTAGAGTGGCTCGTGTGCTTTGAATATTCGTAGTTTATGGTTATGCTAAGTATGCATTGATAGAATAAAATGGGATATAAAAATCTAATTTTAAGTAGTCACAGGCTAATGTGCCGATTAAATTTTTTTATTTTCACGCAGCTGAATGTTTGTACTTGAATCTAAAAATAGCATAATTACTTTAAGTATTTTATAACATGACAAATGTAAATTAAAGACTTTATTACAACGTTTAGTAAAACAATAAGTTCATCTTGCTGCAATCTAAATACATGAATAATCATAAAATTAATAAAAATTATTCGGTGGCCTTCCTGACTCGACCACAACAACGTGTAATTACTGAACATTTTTTTACTCAAAGTCGTTATAAATAAATTATACGAACTTTAAGTTACCCAATAGTAATCCAAAAAGTATATACATGTACTCATGTGCTCAGAATGATGTGACATTGATGTATTTCGATAGTCAAGGGCAAGCTGTCGCGTATGTGTAGAATAAAAGATAATAATCCCATATCATTTAGTATAATCATTTTAATTAGAATAATCATAACACATGCAATGTAATAACAAATAGTAATTATACCGGTAGCGTCATTTCAGTTTTTTGAAAGAAGGGGCAAACATAATTTTTAAGAAATATTAAACAAATTTTCGCTGCGCACATTACAATTTATCCTACTTTTTCTATACATAATAGATTCTTCGTTTACAAAATTTTTTCAGAAAATAACTTCTTTTGTAATATTTTATTTTAATTCACATTAAAAAACATATAAAATATGAACATTGGCACTTAAAATGGGAAGGGTTTTTATTTTATTCATTGTATTTATATTAATTTTATCTAAAACAAAACTTGATTATAAATAAGTTGTTCTTTAAATATATGTTAATAATTGCTTTACATTATAGGAAATTTTTATTTCAGTACATTTTTTTCCTGAAGTATATTTAAAAAAATGTTTGAAAAAAAAGATTTTGTTCCTCGCTGGTTTTTTTCAGAAGGGCGGGGACATGAATATAAACATTAATTTTTAAAAATATAAATATTAATACTAACTAAATATAATGTTGATAAAATATTAGCTAAAGTTAATCTATATTATTTTATACTAACTTTGTTATTTAAGAACGGCTAGTTAATTTGATGGCACTTTTTTTTCAAAGAGGGTAAACTTGTCACGCACTGAATTATACTTGACAATGGCGAAACAATATTTTGAAAGAAAACTCGTTATTAGTTGTTTTTTTTTTGTTATTGCATTGAAAATGCAATTTATGTATTTATTATCAAAATAAAATTGCTAATTATAATTAAGAACACTAATTATGGTGAACTAAAAACAAAAATTACTTTTTATACGTCAACCGTATTAGTACAATTGAAGTTACTAGTTATCTACTATATTTAAGCTAGTATTTTAGTATAAGGTATCTTTAAAGTAAAATTGTTATGATAGTCGTTGAAGGTCATTTCGTAATATTTGGTTGATTAAATTTATGTTCATTAGATTAATTATGTATATCATTACACAAAAATTAGTGATTTAATTTTATAGCAAAAATACATTTTACTGTTCAAGTTTTTTTTTAATAAGGGTCTGAATGAAGTCTTCTTGGCCATAATTTCGAGAAACATAATTATTAATTACACACAAAATATTTCATAATACTCAACAATGTTTTATGTTTATGATAGTTATGTCTTCATCGTGTAACCGCATAGATCTATTATGAAAATCAGGTTGAGCTGTAACAACAAGTATTACATTTTGGAGTCCTAGGTAAATATCGAATAAAAAACTGCCACAATTTACACTAATGTATGATAGACATCAAAATAATATGTTAATCACGTAGAGTATTAACGGCGCCTATTGGTATGTACCTGTCACTAGTTCAAATTAGAAAACAAACGGTCAGCTTAGCATTTGTAAAAAGAATACGCATTTACAATTGATTAAAATGTTAATGGACTACGCCAATATGCAAGTCTATAATATAGACTATATTATAGTGTATATAAATAATAATTGGAAATCATGTATTCGTGTTACACAAGATAGTATACATAGGTCACGGTGTTAAAAAAAACTTACTACGATTAACGTACACAAAAATGTTAAATTGTCTTATTATTCTTTCTCCAATTTTCCCCTAAGGTTAACCTAAAGCGTTGACAAGAGGTGAAAATTAACAAGTTGTCATAAAATCATTTCCGGTGAACGGTTATTGTTCAAACGACATGTACAAAAACTGACACATCGGTTTTAACCGTCGCTAAAAAAAATTCATAGCTGCTACTGTAAGTTATTACCAATAACTTGTCAACTGTCCCTTAGGTACACTTGTCGACGCCGTGTTTTATCGCTCCACCTAATCGCCAGAGTTCACCTGTGTTTACCGCGGTATATATCCACCCGTTTAAATTACAATATATCCCTACGAGGGAAAACTGTTAGTAATATATGCTCCCCTTAAATATTAAACCCGCCGACATCTGTTGGCCCGTCACTGCTAATGGCGTTGTTCCCACAAAATAATTATGCGCTTAACGGAACGAAAATCATCGTCGTTTTGCCCCTCAAGACATGATACTCCTATATTAATAAANGAATTACACGAAAATCATCGTCGTTTTGCCCCTCAAGACATGATACTCCTATATTAATAAAAAGTGCAAAAAAATAATAGTTATTTTAACCCCAAGTGCGGTTGTAGTCATACACAATTGCACGTAGAATTTCACCTAGGTCTAGCCGAGTAATGATTTTAATTATATTTACAGGATTAAAAAAACAATAGTTTTTAGCCTTAACGCTACTATTTCGTTTTGAAAATATTGGTTCTAGTTAAACTCACATTCAAATTAATCTAGGACCGTATGAATTTTAACTAAGAGACTTGGTATTTTTACTCTAACATTTTATATTTCTCATTCTAAAACGTATTA